AGACTCTCCTTACTTCTCCTTTTGTTGCCAACATATTTAAAGAAACTCTTTTTATTGTCTTTAACAGCACTGGCCAGATTAAGTTCCACCTGCGCTTTGGCCTTTCTAATTTTCTCCCTGCACAGCCTCACGGTGGCCCTGTACTCCTCCTGAGATGCCTGCCCCTTCTTCCTAAGATCATAAACTCTCTTCTTTTTCCTGAGCTCCAGCCAGAGCTCTCTGTTCAGCCAGGCTGGCCTTCTTCCCCACCAGCTTGTTTTCGACACACGGGGACGGTCTGTTCCTGCACTAGCCAAGTTGCTATTTGCAGCTTAACAGACCTGAATCTATGTTATTGGTAGCAACCTCTAAACTTCAGAAAATAATAATCAGGGTGTCTTAAATTCCAAATCAGGGTATTAAGTGATCTCTAGCTGGTAACAAAGAGTTATTTTCAATCTGGTTTATAGCTCTCGTGTAACATTGGAAGTACACTGAGGTTCACCATCTCTTTGAAATAGTTAGTTGGCTATACAAGCATCTTGCAACAAAGACTTCAATGCTGCTTAATCTAAGTTCCACAAAATTTCCACTGGAAGGAAAACCTGAATGTTTCAATTTCCAAACGAGAAAAACCCATTGTTATGTTGGTGCTCTCTGCAGAACAGATTTTTATTATTTGACCTAACATCTTCTTTATGAGTTTTCAAGTTTTTTTCTTCCAGGTTCGCCTAATCTGCTCAGCTTTCTTAGGTCACATAACATTTATTCACTGACAATTTTTTGTACTGTTGTTGTAGATTTTTAAACACAAATATACTATTTGACATTTCTAAAGCTTTCCACTTGGTAAAACATGCATAAGCTACCCAAAAGAGATCAACATACCAATGCTTAAAAAAAAGCCCACAAAACCAACAAAAAACATGTTGGCCTTTATATCTATTTGTGACATAGCCCTTCCTCACAGACCACCGCAAGCCTCCAGAAAACTGTTGGCGTGAAATTTTATCCCCCTACAGACTTCTAGGTTCTGGGAACTGACTATAAAGCTTTTTAAGTGTTCAGGCTGAAATACGAGTATCCTGCAAGCCTTGAAATAAGCAAATGATTCTGTGGAAAGCATTCAGGTTGAGACATGCATGCGATAGGTAAGTCACAAGAATTTCTTTGGAATAATAGCCTTTCATTTGCTTCAACCCAGCCACTTGGCTTGTTAACTGGATTGCTTTACATTGGTGTGGTCTACAGTTAAGCTCTATTAGTTGAGCCGGGTAGGAAATGGTGTAATGTTTTACCAGAAACTCTGAGAAGCCTCCAGCATGGATGAAGTTATGTCCGGTGATTCATTGTAGCCTTCTCATTGCACTTAAATCAAGTGCTAGGCACAGCTAGGTTTGCCTCTCTGCTTGGCAAAGGATGAAGATGTGAGTTTCCCAAAGCTTTTGCATCAGTTCTCTCTACAAGGGCTGCTCAGTTTGTTTCCAGACAAGTAATTTTTTGTCAAACATTGTGAAGAAGCTTCACTTGGAATGTTTCTGGGGAAAACCAAAATGTATGTATGCTCTGTGACTGGTACACAGGCAAACGTCTGAGGGATGGGACATCAACTTTGGACCTCAGCTCTTCACCTGATTCCCAAGCATCTACCATAGAGAGGAGGAAAACAACAAAAATAAAAGCAAAGGAAAAAACAACCATTCTCTCAATAGCAGAAGAGATGAAACTTTGATGAAGGGTTCCCAGCCACCCAGTTAGAAAGCTGTTGCTGTACTTTAAAAACCAGGCATCTTGACAGGACTGGAATGGCTTTGCTTGTTGTCTAGTGCCAAATGAAAAGAAGTATTGAACCCCAGATAATGGCCTCAGACAGACATCAGCATCCTCCAGCCAGATCTTAGCCAGCCACCATTAGCTCTCTATTATACCGTTTCCAAAAGCTCATCCAGAAATATGTATGTAGGCACTGCTTCTCATTCCAACACGATCTGAGGATAACAGATGATAAAACCAGAAAAGGATTTTCTGCAAGATGTTATTCTTTTTTGGGTGAATTGACTGCAACCAATGCTTTAAAGAGAATAAACAGATTTTGTAGACGACTGGGAAAAAAACAAGTCACTGCAGAGACAGACTAGTGTCCACAGTGTGCTGCTCAGATGGGAGCTAAAGAGGCATTGGGGATTTCCTCATTATAGTATGGTATTTGTGGAGTGGTAATGCACTCTAAACATAGTGTTAAAAATTACTGTAGCTCCACAGGTACTCTTGGCATTCTAAAGATTCGGCCAGGAAAGTGACAGTGGAGTCATATACAAGATAAATTGTAACTAACTTTTAGCAACAGACAGAAAAGAGCATCCAGAAAAAGAAGGAAAAAATAATCAGATTGTAACAGAGTGATTGAGCTGCACCAGTATTGGAGTTTTACAACAAACTAATTAATCAGGCCTTCAGGGAAACTTTTTTCAGGGAAACACTAGGAAGATAGGCTACACATTCCCCTACACTGGCCACTATATGAAAGAATAGGATCAGTCAAAATTACTTTGGATAAAGTAATGCTGCCTTTATGCAAAAAGGTCAGCGTGTAACATTTTCAAAATTTAAGACCAAAAAGCAACTGAGAAGATACAGACTAAGACCCATGGCAAGCAGGAAGAAACACAAACAACTGAAGTCCCTCAAATCCTACTTTTGTTGATAAACTGCAATACAACAAACTTACACCCACTGTTAAATGCTGCTTGTCTAATTTACTTCCTCTGCCCCATGAATAGGTATCTCAATCCTGTGACATGCTGGCACCCACCTGGGGACAGGAATCCACACATGCTCCCAGGCAGCAGGACACAAGACTCCATTTCTCTGGCTCTGAGCCATTAGCTTAAGAAAGGGTGCAGTGCTTTCAGTGTAAACATACCTTGTAAGGAAAGCATAAGATGCAGAAAAGCACAGTAAGGGGAGGGGACTCTGTTCAAAGTTTCCAAAATCATGCATAGGCTCTGCTGGTGTGCTTCACAGTGGTGTCTCCACAGAAAGAAGTTATGTCTAGTATCTGCTAATATCCAAGGGTCAGAACCGTACCAGGAGCTGTGTTAACATCCTCAGCCTAGTCTAAACAAGAACAACTTAGTCTTGTCAAGCAGTGTTTCACTGACTGGCCCTGCTCCTGCTCCAGACACCAGTACAGTCACAGCATCCCAGGGTGGTTCTCATCATCTGGCATGAAATGAAAAGGCTTCAAAACTCTGCTGGGTAGCACCTGCACTTTTTAGCGCTTCCTTTGCCTAGTCACTCTCTGGTCTGCTCTAGCAGGTGATCCCAGACCTCTGCCAGATCACCATTGCCTCAAGGTCTCTCCTTCAAGGTCTGCTTTGTGCAAGCTCATTTGCGTTTGGAATGGTTGGTCTAGAACAAAGGTACATCTTTCTTTTGAGCATTTCACCTTTTTCTTTCAATCCTTTAAAAAACATATAATTAAGAACCAACTCCTTGCCCTCTAACTTCCACGTTGGTCTGAAAATTCAACAGAAATTTTCTCTTCTGAATTGTTGATAGTATCAATGGAAAGCTCACATATGCTTTACAATTAAGAAGTTGTATTTGAGGTCTAAGAAGTGTTAATTTCTCCTTCTTCTCAGTGAAGACTTCTGTGTCTCTGACAGGAGCAGATTTACTAGAACAGTCCCTCTTAACAGTAGATGCTGTAGGTCTAAGTTCACAATGGACAAGTCTGATACTCCTGAAAACATTTCTTTAAATTATAGCACATTATCATCATGAAGCAAGTATCTAAATATTCAGGAACTGAGTTAATGTGTGCTGCATTTCTAAACATAGTAGTAGAATTTAAAGATAGACACAGCATTTTGATCTAGTTAAGCAAGAGTGAAACTACCAATGAAAATCAAATTTCTGTGATTTCTGAAGCCTAAGGCCTCTATCCCCTCCTCTGTTTTTTTCCTTTCACTGTTATTAGTAATTAAGACTAGAAAATTGAGTTGATCCATGATCAGGTCATCACACATACAAGGACATTACAAGGAATGCAATTTCTCCTTAATTCATCATTAGGAAGCAAACTCACATGCAAAGTTTGAGTGCTCTTCTACATCATATTACACTGTTTGTCTTAAAAATACAAAGAGGGTGCTGTGACCAGAAGAAAACCCTTCCCTTGAGGGTACATCACTCTGCATGAGTGGGTTTCTCTGCTACATACTTCTGACAAAAATACTCTGAGCATACTTACACTTCACACTTTTGTGGCCCTCCGTGAAAACGCAGAAGATCAGTGAATTACTTCTGCCAAGACTTCTGCCTGAAAGCAAACCACAAGCAGCATATCCTGCTCTGTGTGGATCCTCCCCTCACAATCTGTAGTCTTGTACTGTCCCTCAGCAGTAGCAATGGGAAAACAGCTCTTAAAATTACATGTCACTGTAAACATGTTATAATAAAAGTTACTTTTCCAATATGACAAGTCTCACTTTTCTCCACATATGACCAGGCCTTATTATGGGATCTATAAAAACCATTGGTTTCCATGCATTAGTGACTCACCGCTTCAACCTCTTCTGCATATCCTCTTCCTCCGGCACAGTGTGATCAGAATCAGAATGATGACACCAGCGCCAGCTAAAATCCCCAGAGCGATCATCAGCCAAGCCAACGAGGATCTGACTTCTGTGAAAAAAAAAGGCAACAAAAAATACACCAAACTAAGCTAGTTTATGTAGGAAAAAGTGCAAAAAGAGTCAAGAGGATGTCTGATTAATGACAATGGTACCTTGCTGAGATTGTGAAAGTTATTGCTAAGCAACTGTCATTCCCATACCTGAAACGGTAGTTGGCATAAAGTTTTTTTTGTTCATCCAGAATTAGAGGGTTATTTTGTAAAATGAAAGTTATCCCTCTTACTGTTAAACACTTGTCTTATTGTACTTGACAATCTAGCCTGTCACAAAGGCTAAATTAACTTTCAGAAAAGAAAATGGGCTGTTTTGATGTCTGCAAGTAGCTCTATCCAACATCTGAGTGTAAACTTCCCTCCCTGGTCAGACATTAGCCACTTCATTTGACTACCATTAATCAAAATGATAATATGAAGACTCGTTTCAACACTCACTGATGTTAGCTGGAAAACTTTCTGAATTAAAGTTTACTTGGATTAAACCAAAACTATCATGTCTTTTAGCAAATCTAGGTTGAGCTATTTATTTGAATTTCTCTTTCTCCAAAATATAGATTTTTAAAACAACAAGGTATTAGCCGACTTTTCATTCTCCTAGCAAGGAATAACAACAGTCTTAGTTTCCTGCTTTCTGAGATACACATTTCCTTTTTAAAAGGCCAAAACAAAAGAACATTGCCTTTGGACAGGACAAAGATTTATTATGCCTTTTCAGTTAGTGACACTCAGAGTAAAGAACTAATTTCCTTTTGAACTTTCAGAGGGAAGATATTAAAAGCCAGATCTTACTCTTTACTACTTATTCCTACAAGAAGCACTTCTTGAGCAGGTAATTTGGGAATTAACCCGCTTGGAAGTTAGGAAGACAGGGAAAGCAGCTTGGAATTTTAAGGCTCTGGATTTGGAGACATGTGAATTTTAAATCACCTGAGACAATGTTCCTGTGTGAACTGAGAATGGTATTTCAGCTTTTAATGCTTCTATTTCTCATCTATAGAACTGGACTGAAAGTCTTACCAGTGGAACAGAATGCTGGGAGAAGAAATAAATTAGTACTACAAGGTATGCAGATGTTACTTTGATGTACTTAAGATTTCCCCATAAACCCAATGTATGTTCAACTAATCACCTCCTTATCTGCCTGAAAATACTATTCCTCCCTGACTATTATGGCAATGCATGTGCCTTAGCAAAAATGTCAGATAAATTAAAATATAATACACAAGTTAACTGTACCAAAACACATAGTAAGTTTAACTGAGATGTTTGGTTAATTATTGTTCAGTTGTAGCCTCTTGTTAATTTCAAAACTTCCATTTCAGTGTTTATTAAGTGACCCACAACATTTTTACTTCATCTAGATAGATAACAGGTGACAAATATTTATATCTATCTTTTCACTGTCAAAAAAACTATTAAGACTTTCATAAAAACTGAAGTTTGACTCGCTGCAAAAACCGCAGTGCCTCTAAAACTCCCTAGCTGACTCGTTTGGCTTTTTTCCCCCTCTTGGAGAGGAGCCCAAGATGTTATGATCTCAAGACAGCAATGAACTCGAAGTAGGATTTCCTTTCATCTTACTTGGTACATACACACTTCACTCCCTCCTCTTCCCGGCATATTCCTATCCAAACATGCTATTACAAAACACGAAGCCAAAAGAACACTATCAAGTAGCTTGTATCTTTCACCTACCTCCTTTCATTTTCACAGGCAATTCTATTTTTTGATTCGCGTTGCTTACTCTGCAGGTCAAGTCCTGTGCACTGATGCTCCTAGTGTTGTCGATCTCCAGTTTACTGGTGATGGACACCATCCCATTGGTGTGTGTGACCATCTCCTGGGTAGGAGTAGAACCGAACGAGTTGCTCCAGGTGATGTTGGGCTCTGGGAGGCCAACAGCATTACAGATGGCTGTCAAATGACCTTCGGAAACGTTGTAATGGACAGATGCATTGAGACCTTCCAACACACAAACAAGACAATCCATCACCACAATGAACACCTGGTCAGAAGCAGTAGTAGCAATTTAGCCATTATGAACCAGAACAAAGCTTACTGGATTTGCACTGAACTCCATGGCACAGGAATGCAAAAAAGAATTGTTTGCGTCAGGCACCCCACTGTGATTCAATACTCCTTCCCTTATATTGAAGTTTTACACCCCAAAGGTTTCACTTAACCTGAAATCCTAGGTTTTAAAATAATTTATTAAAGTAAAACCAATCATTGGACCATGCTGTTCTCTTATCTGCTAATTCCTTATCAATGGTAGGGTTAGGCACAGCAGCTCACAGCACTGCAGCTGTACTTGGCACCAAGAGGAAACCTCAGCAGGCAATCTTGGTTTGCCCAAGTTCCAGCTGGGACTGCTCAGGGGCTTACAAACAAAGATCCCACTCCTTGCTTTTTAGCTGCTACTCACAGAATAACAAACAAGGAGAGCCCAGAGCCAAACCCACAACAACAGGCTTGAATATGAACCCAAAGAGTCTTGCACATAGCAGTAATGCTCTGTTTCTACATCATGTTCCACTGAGGGATGCTCCCACCACTGCAGATCTTGAGTTCACTCAAGGAAACACTGTGGGTGAGAAAACACCACTTTTTCCACTACAGACATACCCCTGCAGAGAACCTTACCAAAGACACTCAGGCAGGTACGTCCTGAGAAGGAGCCAAAAGGGAAAGTATTGAAGAGACACATATAACACCCTGAATCATCCAGTCTAGCATCCCAGAAAGTGATGTGTGTCTCATTGAGTACCAGGCTCGTGAAATTCATTCGGTCTTGATAGGGCTCGTGAATCTTTAATCCTTTTGCGGTACTGTATGTAGCTATATTAATGTGTGATTTTTCAGAGTCCTTTTGCCAAGTCACTTGCAGAACTTCCTTGGGGTCTGTCAGAGCACAGCTGAGAGTCACATTTTCGCCCACCTTCACATTTCTGTATTCAGCCTGTGGAACCACTGCAGCGACAAGAAACAGTTAATGAAATGGGCAGACGTCACACATATTCAGAAGCCTAATGCTGATTCTAATCTAATTCTGATTACCCACAGACAACAATTCCATCAATTACATATTGTTTCTATAGTTTTACCCCACCAAAAAGTCCTTTTCCTGCATCCTCCTATGTTGATTTATACTGGCTGAGGCTCTCCATTTAAAAGAAAAAGACATACCCTATTACTGTACCCATCCCTGCAGACTTCTCATTTCAGTAGTTCATTGCTTTCCTCTCAGCAAAGACAAATTTTTTTTGTTTCCTAAAAGGTAGGGGAACACTGAATGCACAGGGAAGTGCACACCAAGCCATTCTCAAAGAACTGAGAAGTAAAATGAGCTGAAGAGAATTTCTGGAGTTTGCAGTGCATTCGAGAGGGAGGGAAAGAAAAAGAGAGATGTTTTCCTGAGAGGAGGATCCACTACAGGAAGATGTGAACTCAAGTAAACAACAGTATCCAGTGTCACTGTAGATAAGACGCTCTATGCCCCCCCCCCACCTCTAAATGCTGCTCCAAGAGGTTTTGTGTCACATCTGCCAATTCCATGTCTATGCCTCAGCTATCTAACATATGTCAAATGACACCAGCAATCTGTAATTAACCTAATTTTGCCTCTTACTCTGACTGTTGCAGCCTTAGGAATCAGAAACCGGTTCTCTAACCATTTTCAGGAAGATTTCAAGAAATTCAACTTACCATTTGCCTTTCCAAGCCCAGCACAAGCCAGACACAAAACCAAAGCTCGGAAACTCATTTTGGAAGGTAACACCTGCTTCACCTGAAGAAAGATAAGGAGATGCATGACAAAAAAAATTGCATGCTAGAAGTTAGAATAGCACTAATCCACCAGAAGCATGGCATACTGGTAGTCCAGGACTAGCTGCAGAACTGGGAGAGAGGTAGGGTTAGCTGGTGAGATCAAGGGATAAATTGAAAGCAACATCTCTGAGGATTTCAGGACTCTCCATCTGTCCAGAACTGCCTGAACTGAGGAACTTGTGAGGCATACTGCACCTGCTATGTACAAATATATTTCCAAGTTGGGAAAGGGGCAAAAATAAGGTTATGTGGCTGCTTTCCCTAGTGAACAGCTTTCGACCTGCTTCCTGTTCCCTCAGTCAGTTAATATTGCCACACTACAACTGAATAGTAGACCTGTCTGAACTGAAGCTGGTGTCATATTTAAGTGGACATGTTGTTTCACATGACATACCTCTGCGACACACATCACCTACACCTGAGTTGCTTTGCCAATATCTGCAAAACTAGCTGATGCATCTTAGGAATGTCTTCTGTCAAGAATGTAAGCAAAGTGAGTGGAGCATCTCCCTTACAAGGGAGCTGAGACTCTTTAGCTTGGAGAAGAGGCGAATGAGCAAAGACCTCATTAATGTTTACAAATTTGTAAAGGGCAAGTGTCAGGATGAAGGAGTCAGGCTCTTCTCAGTGACAGCCAATGACAGGACAAGGGGCAATGGGAGCACGCTGGAGCATAGGAGGTTCAATCTGAACATGAGGAAAAACTTTTTCACAGTGAGGGTGACAGAGCACTGGACCAGGCTGCCCAGAGAGGTTGTGGAGTCTCCTTCTCTGGAGACATTCAAAACCCGCCTGGACATGTTCCTGTGCGACCTGGTCTGGGTGATCCTGCTCTGGCAGGGGGGTTGGACTGGATGATCTTTCGAGGTCCCTTCCAACTCCTAATATTCTGTGATTCTGCAAAAGCCCAACTTTTAAAAGATTTTCACAACATGCAAAAAATAGAAGAGAGGATCAGTTATAAAACATTTTCTGTGTTATCATTTGGCTTAAAAAAAGGAGGGCTGATGAATAAATAAATTAATTAGATGGAGGAAAAAAATATTTAAGAAACAAATTCTCAGCAAACTTGTGCACACAATGCATATGCACACAACCAGCAGCCTGCCTTTAAATTTTAAACATGCTGTGCTAAAACAACTCTGATACAACTCCACAGCTACCAAGCATGAATACAGGCCAAGTTCTTATGCATAAAATCAGGAAACAAGAATCCAGCAGTAACAAGCTCAAGGAACAATGAGTCTGACAGATAATACAGTGTAGTCATACACTTGAGCACAGCCTTAAGAAATTCACATAGATAATCCTAAAAACATGCAAAAATCAAGCACAGCAAGCAAGAGAAATTTTCTTTTATAAAAGTGTTTATCAACCACTGAAAGATGTGCTACAATTGCAGGAAAGCATGGTTTTCAAGGACAGCCTTCTCTCTTGGTGCTTTAATACCCATTAAAGTCCTCAGCACACCATTGCTCGCAACTGGTGTAGCTACAAGATTTCACGCAATGTGGAACCAGGCTATAGCCTAACTGTACCGATCACACAAAAAGCCAGTTTATGGTGCAGGCTTAATAATTAAGTGAACGATGAACTAATGAATGAATAAATAAAGCTTGTAATACTAGGGCTAGTGAAGAATAAATCCATCACTATATCCTACCTTCCCAAACCGCACCTCCTGAGCCACCGGCTGTACCCCGTCTTATATCCACTAGTACTCTGAGACCTCCTGTGAAACGCCTCAACTTTTAATAACTTTTTATACTTCTGGCGACCAGCTTCAGTAAGTGCTCGGCGCTGCTCCTCCCGGCGGCACCCTGTGCATACTCCTGCTTACAAGAGGCCAGGAAGGGCTCGGGGACCGGGAGCTGTTTCTGTCGCAGAGCCGCCACACGCCCGAACCTCCTCCGGGCATGAGCCTCTGGGCATGGGTGGGGCCTGAGTGGCGGAGGGCACCGGCCTCCCACCGCCCCACACGGACACCCGCTGCTTGCCTTCCCCCCTAAAACTCACCTCAAACCTGTAAGTGAGCCCAGGAGGGGTGGTGAAGGGAGCGAGAGGGATGCCTACTCACCGTCAAGTAGAGCTGGAAGGAGGGAAGAATCGCGCCAGTCCTTCCCAGGAGCCCCGCCCCGAGAGCCCGGAAAGAAAGTCCCTTATGCCGGCGGAGCCTTCCGAGGGTTTGCTTGCGCAGTCCACTCGGCCGCAGCCCTCTTGGGTGAGGACGGTGGCGGCGGCAGGTTCTGGCACCGGCAAAGGGGCGAGCCCGTGCCGTGAGCCCACCCCGCTCGCGGCTATTGCTCGCTTAGCCCCAGCACTGTCACCCCGTTTCCTCACCTCCGTGCCCCGCCTTGCCCCTGGAATTGGCTTCAAAGGGTTCCCCCTCCCCCTTTTCCCTCTCTTTGAAGCGTTGCTAGTATCAACCATTAAAGAACAAATTAAAAATCCACACGACAACCCCCCCACTTGCTTACAGCAAGAATGTCATAAACCCTGAAACGCAGCCAGGTTCCAGTAACACAGTGCTGTGAGCACTGAGTTCTCACAGCACCCCGGGATGGAGGGTCACGCTGCTTTTGAAAGTCAACACCATAAACCCGAACTTCCTTCTAAGAAATTTTGGGTTGCTTTTTATGTTCGAAGCCGGTTCGTCCCTGGTTTCAGTTTTAGGATAGTGACAGTTTTTTATTAAAGACATCTGTGCTATCCTAAACCACTGAAACTAGAATCCAGTGGCAGGAACAGAAGATAATAATAGTAATAGTAATATAATGGCCACAAGCTGTGTCTTTTATTTCATTGGGAGTGGTCTATTGCTTTCTCTGCTACCTTCCTGTTGGGCTGAGAGGAAAAGGGGCAGCACCGGTGATACAGGGCAATCTTGCTGCCACCTTCTTGTTGTTAAAATACAGGATCAGTGTTAAAATACACTGGAAAGTTTTCTCTTTTGTAGTTTTATCATCAGGCTTGTCCCAGACTTGACAGAAAACAACTCGTTTCTCAGTTTGATTTATTAGAAACAGCATCCTTTGCAGTCAATACAGGACATTCAGTGACTGCTGTTTGCTGTTTCTTCAGCTGCTTTCACACATGCACACATACATGTTCATACACCATTCATATCAAGCGTAGTATTTATCTTGCACAGCCCTAGAAAGGGCTCTTCTTTGCATCATTATTCATGGGAAAAACATGACAGCTCAGTTTCAAACCCCTGCCAAAATTTTTTGGCAAAGGCACCCGTACAGTGGCCATGAGCCCACATAACCCCAGATACCCTTTCTTATTTAAGACCCATATATGCAGGACTATTTGAAGCACTGCTGTTAAACTGTGCTAAGGAACGGGATGGTGTTTGCACCTTTCCCGAGTCATCCCAGGCTCATCTGTGTGTTAACTGTGCCTGTTCTGCTGCTGCCAGTACCACCGTGCATAAAGCAGTGCTTATGACCTGCAAAAAAAATTTAAAAATCCCCACCAGATCAGATGTAACCTGTCGCTGAAGGCTGAAGGTCAGGGCAGTGGCTCTTCTAGCTGGATGCAGCTGTCCCTGGAGACATCTCAGCCACGGTGCTTGATTTACTGGAGCCCTTCCTCTGCTAAATAAAGAACCAAAGCCAGAGCTCCACCGCTGTGTTTTTTCAACATTTTCTTCTGTCTTCTAGAACAAATGAGTAGGTCTCAGGTTACTTAAATTTCCCTCTTCTGGCCTTATGCTTTTTGTTTTCAGTACAGAATGGGTTCCCTCTAAAGTAGGACATGTCTCCAGCAACTAACCTACTGTTGCTGTTTGAGACTGGTGTACCTACATCCTTTGCACACATTTTTCTTTTTATGAAAAAAATGTGTTAGCAAGTCTCCTGTGCTCACCTGCCTTCACTACAGCTGAGGGGGTTTCAGGGGGAACTCCAGAGAACTGCAGACTACATAGCTTAAAATAAATTTATCCAGAAGTGCCCTGCGCCTTCAAAGTAACAAATGCAGGGAAGTCCCAGGGACCTCTTCCTGCTCTTATTTCATAAAAATAAAGAGGACATTTGGGGGACTTGAGTGATATTTTATACTAGCTCACCCTGTAACTCATATCTACTAAAGTGGAATAGTTCTATATTTATCCAAATTTTACTGCTCCTTCAGTGGGCTGGGGAAGCTTTGAGAAGAAATAAGAAAATGATGAAAGGGTCTGGCAATTAAGATGGCTGCTTCTTTGTAAGAGAGGGAGGAAACTAGAGCTGAGCAAGGAAAGGATAGTTCTGAAGTAGTAGATGAAGACCAGAGGTAACCTCAGGGCAGACAGAGACAAATGGAAAGTACTCCAGGCAGGCAATGACAGAAAGTTCAGAATCTTTTTATATTCATAGAACAAGATACAAAAATATTTTTCTGCCCTATTCTGTGCTCTCATGTCAACTGTTTCTTTTTTCAAGGACCTTGTTCTGCTCAGCAGTCTCTGCTGAGTCCTGCAAAGTTCTTTGCACATGGCCTTCTCTGGAGCTGGTGCTGGCTGAGCTGGCACCAACTCCCAGGTGTGACAAAGTGAGTAAGCAGAGAGCACTTGTCCTAAAACCTGGAGAGTTTCTTTGTTCCTCTCATTTCTTCACCTGCAATACACTCTGTGTGCTGGTGGAAGAGGCAATCTGAAATTCCCTATGCCATGAATGAGGTTTATTCTTTGGTTTTATTTCCTTTCCCTTCTGGGTGGATACACTCTGCTAGTGTGTCTTTCCTTCTTCCTGGTTCTTCCCTTGATTTCTGGGCTAATGACCTCTTTTAAGCAGCCAGTGAAATTTGTACAGGTTTAAGGAAATTAATATAATACAGTTGTTGCAAGTTGTCATTATTTAACAGGGACAGAAAATAAAGCAATAGAAGACAACTAAAGTCAGTGACACAGATTCCAGTAAAACCAAACACACTAAGTTTCACAAAGCTTGTTGCCTGTTGAAGGCTTACATCAGGACTGTTAGGCTCTGCTGATCCAACTGGCTTTTCTCATATAAATTTGCACATCACCCTTAATCATCAAACTCAAGCAATGCTTCCTCAGGTCATGCATGCTCAAATAAGTCCTAAGATATCCATGCCCAAGCTTGCATTCTCTTCCCTTCTCTCATTTCCCAGTGAAACTTGTTGGTATTTTGTGTTGGACTGTTCATGTCTTTCTCACTGATCTTTATTTACATGCCTCTTCTCTGCATGAGGGCTGAACATCCTGGCAGCCAGGGGCTGTAGATGGCATTGGTTGTGCAAACCCTCTCAGAAGGTTCTGCATATTACACAGACTAAGAAATACACTTGCACCCCAGACACTGCAAATCCTAGTTTCCTAGGGATGAGTAACTGGGAGGAAATCAGGTTGATACTGTGGAAAGAAAGATATTTCATAAAAGAAAGGTGAGATAGTGACTACATTTTTTAAATATTAATTTCTGCTGTCCCACAGACCTGCCTTCAGCTCTTGGGACAGACACACTAAAAAGAAAGCAAGCTTGGGCAAGTTATCTGGGTTTTGTCAGTAAGGCTGGATTTGGGACAGCTTTGGTCTCAGCTTTTTGTTTTGCTTTGCTTCTAAAACTAGTAATGTTTTTCCTTCTGGAAGGAAACAATACAATTACTAGGACTGAAAGAAATTATCAATTCCATTTCATCAGGAAGAATCAGAGAGCACTTCTAAACTCCTACCTTGATACCAAAATACTATTTGAAAGTCCAAAAGAAAAAAAGAATAACACTCGTGAGTTACTATTTTAATGGAGGACTCACTGAAGGCATTTTCACTTTAATTTGTGAACTCTCCCACTAGAGGGTACTCTGCTATTACAAAAGAGTGTGCTCTGCACTACTAACACAAGCTGTTAGAAAAGCCTCTGCAAACACATTGGAGGGACATTTGTAACACACCTAGTGTAATGATACAGGAAGTTGTAGGGAAGGCTTTCCAGCTTGAGTCCTTAAAACCAACTTTTTTCGAAATACCGATCTTGATACAGTTCCGTGGGTCTTGCTGCATCCACAGCACAGATCCGCCCGCCTGATCACTTGTGAAATGTCAAAGGGCATCCCAGGACACGTCACCTACTCACCAGCTTGCCTGGCTTGATCTTTCCTGGCGTTCGTATTCTCACCCGTGCTCGCTCCAGGTGCCGCACCAGGGACATGCAGGCTCTGACCCTAGTCCATGCTGGTGGCTGCACTTGGATTCTCTCACTCGGGTGTCCCCAGTCACTGGCGCCCAGGCATACGTGCCTGCTGGCCCATGGTCCTGGCCCAGCTGCTGGCACCAGGCCCCCATACAGACATGAAAACTGGCTAGGGAGGCCCTCACCAGGGAAAAGGAGTTAGAATTGGAGTTTAATGAGAAGACAGGGCAGACTGTGGTGACCAGGTGCTGAGCATAGCCAGACAAGCATACTGACCAGCCTCCTGCATACATGCCACCAGGCCCTTTTATCCCTTTATCCCTCCATTTTCTCAGGCTTTTTCATCTCCAAATCCCCTTGATTCCTCCCTTTCTCACCTTGGATTTCTCCTCTAAGCAACCCATAATAAGTCCTGTGCAATCCCAAAATGTTTTTCTCTTGCATCTCATCACATGTTCATACCCCCTTTTGAATTCAGGCAGTGATCCCTCTCATTTCAAAAGGTGCTCCACTGATGACTCATCTGGAAGGGGTTTCACACCCTGACCCTGAGGATCTCCTGGGATATTCCTGGTAGGGGACTGGGCAAGATGTCACCTGCACTGAGTTCTTAGATGGGCTCCCCACCTGCCTTTGGGACTCTGTGCTCCTCTGGGCTTGTGGAGGTGGGCCTTTAGTGGTTTGACGTATCTCCTTCCTGTGCTGGGCTGGGGAGCAACCAGGGTGGGGTGTTATTTGGACTTCCCCACCTGCTGTAGCCTCTCTGTTCTCCTTCACGGGTGTGTAGCCGAGCTCCTTGTCGCATAACCCAACAGGTCCCCTCTCAGACATGTTGTGGATGTTGCTGTTCAGATCTTCTTCTTCCTCTGAAAACAAGCGTCTGCATTTTTTTTTCTCTCTTAGTTTTTCCTTCAGGTCTGGTGGTCTTTTGCGAAGTGAGGAGCCTGGTGTCTGCTCCTGCAAAAGACCCAGCACGCTGGTGTGGTAACCATGACATAGCTCTACATTATCTGTCAGAGAGAAGTGATGAGAAGACAAGAGGGCTCCCACTCACAGCACAGGACTAGCGAGAGCTTGCAAGGAAAACAGGGCACCTGTGGGAGGTCAGAGGAAAGTGGCTTGTAGAGGTGACTCACAGTTGTGGTCACTTACTAGTTTTGTCTGTGGATGCCACCAGCCCTCCAGAGCACCTTCATGCCTACAGGACCAGCAGGGCAGAGTAGACTTTTCTGGGGAAACTTCTGCGTGAGACTGCTGGTTACAGCACCTGAACTCTGCAACGCTCTGTCGCCTTTGTCCAGAAGGGACATCCCATCTGCCTTCCTGGGCCTTTCCACCTAACCATTGATGAACTTTTCTCCTTCATGCTTCAGGCCTTCCTCAGCATTGCTAGAGGTTAGAAGGGGCCTGTATGGTGTAATCTACCTGGTGTGGCTGTTCCCTGCAGCAAAGACATGGCAGCAGGAGTGGACCCTAGCTCTTGGTAGAAGGGTTTTGTCACACTGCTGGTAAGTGTTGCCAAGGCTTTTGAAGGATGCAAATAATTACTGGAAGCCTTGGGCATTTGCATTACCTCATTTTGATAAACAATGTGCTGGTCTTTTGGCATGTGCAGGATCACAGCTTTCTCCCTTAGGTCTTGGTGTAAACCTTTCTCCTTTGCAGGTGTTCTGGGTGTACTACACCTCCTTAGAATGAAAACAAAACAAAACAAAACAAAACCAAAAACCAACAACCATTAACTATTCACATAGTGCTTAGAAACCTCCTGGTATTTAGAGTAAATCTTGCAATTTTAAAGATGCTGTTACCAGCTAGGTAAGTTTCCAGGGCAGGTGTATAGAAACACCAACAGGAAACAGAAAGGCAAATTGCAAGGCAGACAGAGGCAAGCCATGTCATTTCCAAGAAAATGAAAATTATTCTTACTTTTTCCTTTTTCTGTTGATTCGTCTCGCACCATATATCAGGCTTATTAAGAACATCACAGCTATTAAGATTGTCAAGATGATTATGCTTTTCTGGACACCTGCAAGAGGAAACCAGTAAGTTCACACAGAACATAGAGGGATGTCATCATGTTTCTTGTGTCCTCCTCTTCTTCAGTTGGGACTGAGCTTGTGCTCATTTATCTTTGAAGAAGAGAAAGGAACAGTGTAGCAGTACAACACTGTGGTTGGTAAGGAATTATTTTTTTAAATAAATACTGTTAATGTCTCACACTTCCCTGGTACTGGGGGAACCAAACCTCATTTTTACTCCTGTTCTATTTGTGTTTCACTTTCTGAATGAAGAAGGTTTATAATGAGGAAAGTATCCTAGCCTTCCTGAGACATATCCTCCTGCAAGACCTTCCACGTGAAATTTTGTTCCCCAGTGTTCAACAACCAGGGGCCTGCTCTGCTGGTAATCTCCAGCCGTGGATACTGCTAGAGAGCTGATCACATCTGCTCTAAATCAGTGATTATATAGAAATATAAACATACAGAAACATATAAACATATGCATGCACAAATCTACATATTTGTTAGATATATAAATGCACACACCCACCACACAGACACAAAGCTACCACAGGGAGGAGTCTTCTGGAGAGTTTCAAATAATGAAATCTTCATCTAGCATGAGGTCTGAACTCCCAGAAAAATGTCTAGTGAGACCTACACAAGTACCGGCTGCACTCACACAATTGCACATCTTTTCCTAAGCACTCCCCACTACCCGCTGCGCCTCTCCATACAAACACAGCCTACCTTCCGTTCCTTTTTCCAGGTAAACTGCCTTCATTTTCCTTCCCTGTGGATGGTCAAGGAGGCAGATCAAGGCATGGAGATGGCTGGCAGAGAAGGTGAGCCTGTTTGCCACCGTTATCGTTCCATTTGGATTTTGGATGTGATGTATTTCAGAGAACTCATCCAGCTCACTGTCATCCAACCAGGTGATTTTGGGGGCAGGCCTTCCTGTTGCTGAGCAAACTGCAGTGAGGAGACCCTCGGTGGGCAGATGGGAGTCATATTCCACTGTTAGCTCAGAAATTGCTGAAAGCAGAAAGAGAAGGTACTTTTTACACTCTGTGGTGAGTTCACAGTCAGAACTGGACGGGTCACCCCCACACAGGGGTTCTTATCTGAAAGCATCTCCTGCAATATTCACCTTCACCTCCTCTGAGGAAAAGTGTGGAAGTTGTGGAAACTATCCCCCGGAGATACTGCTGCATGGGAAGTCTCCATGCGGTGGAGGAGATAATGCCTTACCCACCTCCTGACTACACCAGGCCTGTGCTGAGTGCCAGAAAGTGAGAAGGTGTTAGTGGAAAACTTACTTTGGATGTTGAGGCGTATATCTTTGCTGAAAGAGCCACGAGAGAACACGCTGAAAATACATCTGTAATAGGACTCATCCTCGAGTGTGAGATTTTGAAGTGAGATAGCTGAGGCCTTCAGGGTTGCTCTAATGAAACGTGCCTTCTTCTGAAATGACCCTATCAGCCTTGGCCCGTGCTTGGAGCTGTAGGTGGCTATGTTCAGGAAGGAAGACCCATTTTTCTTCTGCCAGGTGACTTGCAAAACATCCATTGAAAGCGAGAAGTTACAATAGAAATTTGCCTCTCCACCAAGGGTGGCTGCAATAATGCTATCAGTTTCCACAGCTTCCTTCAAACCTAGCAACAAAGCAAACCCAGGAATAAAGCAAACTCCAAAATCAGAACAAGAGGAAAAGTAATTTGCTTGGGGAAGGCTATAATGCCTTGGAAGCATCCAGTCACAGTGTTCCCATTTTGCAGAGCACTGGAGCAAGGAACTCCACCATGAGGCCATGTGGTACACTGGGAGACCTCAGACACCTTGATCTCATGGGTGGCCATCACATCACTAGCCTATGCTGTATATTTCCCGTGGTGAAGAGGAATGTGACATGGGAACAAGGGCAGGTAGGCTCCTTAGCTATCTCAGCAGACTTGAGCCCCAGGCTCATCTGCCTGCTTCTTCCCACTGCATTACTCCTAGCTTGCCTTTGTCCCCAGAAGCTTAGAGATGTCCTCTACAGACCTAACACACAGCAACCACCCAGTTAAAGTGGCTCTTGCTCCTGAGAGCATCCCTGCAGCCTTCTCACTGGCACCTGCAGGGGTGTGGGGGGAGGCAGAGCAGTCCAGGGCACCCTGCAGCTGGGAGGCAACACAAATGGCTTCAGGGGATAGCCCCCTGCCCCAGCCTCTCTCAACAGAAGTGTGCATCACCCAGACACGTGCATTGGAAATGCAAACCTGCTCCATCCCTTGTGAATACACGGTCCTAATATACAGCCAGAGTGTAAAAACAAACTGCCCCCTGCTCAGTCCATCCTGCATTTCCTGATAGTGCTGCTGACCAGCCCCCAGACTACTAACTACTGTTCCAGTTATCTCTTAGTATTTTTCAGTCAGGATGGCATCTGGGTCCCTCTGCTTGCCAAGAAAGGCTTGTGCTGTGCTGGAATTAACCTCACGGGGAAAGGGCACTCTACTCACCCATCACTGGCTGGCAGCCTCCACAGAGCAGCCACAGGCAAATTTCAGCCCAGTAAAGCAGGGGGAAAAGCATGGTGGGACAGACCAATCGCCTAGAAAACCCTTTCTCCGCATCCCTCAGAGGGCAGTTGGCACACCCAGGTTGAAGGTTTCGCGCCTTTTTTTCAAAGTGCTCCTCAGAGGCCAATCAGCGGGGCTGTGGTGGCAGGGATGGCGGGCAGCAGCCAGTCAAATGAGGTCAGGAGCCTGGTCAATCATTAATTGACTGTCATAAACCACTGCCAGTCAGTGGCAGGACTTTGTCCCCTGCCAACTGCTCTGGTTGCCAGAGCTGGAAATAAGCAGCACCCCTTGTTGTTTGTTCCCCTCCCCCCAACTTCAAAGCTTGGTGTTGCCCTTTGTTAGCCCCATGCTGCTGAGCTTTGCTACGAGTGCCATCAGGGTGACTTGCACCTCACAAGGTGTAAATGTGGGATCTTCCCAATAAGTGTAGGTGGTGGCTGGCAGAGAGGGAACAAAAGAGGGGTCACAGGCCCCAGCAGCCCCCACTGCCTTTCTCTTTGGCAGGGAAGGGAGGGTGGGCAGAGGGGCACTGCCTGTGGATCACCACCCCTGTGGCTTGCTGAGCACCTTGCTGGGCACTGGTCCCAAGCTTTTTGGGGGGGTGTTGTGGCTTATACAGTTGCTCTATCACTCAGTGCCTCCTCCCCATACAGGGATGGGGGTTAGGAAAAGCAAAGGAGATTTGTGGGTTGAGATAGAAATCTATTTTAAAAAATAATAATAATAATATTAACTACAGTTATAAATTACACAGAGTCATACTCAGCCAATATTGTGGGGGAGTAGGCCTCAGGGTTAGGATGGTAAACAAGTCCCTCTCGAAACATCAGCCATGGAAGAGGGAGCGGGAAGGAGAGGAAGAGGCAAAGGAGGAGGAAGAAGGACCATGCCCAGCAAACTCCTCAATTTATAGAGAATGTGACATCGATGGTGTGAATAGTATTAATTGGTCAGTCTGGTGCCACCTTGAGGTTGACTTCCCTAGGTTTCTGTTCCCCCCAGCCGCTGCATCTGTTTATCTCAAGACCTTGAAGACCTTGAGCCCTATGACAACCTGCATATCAGTATTAGCTGAAACCTATAACTAAGTTTTATCATCTTTGTTCCCATGAAAATAGAGTGTTGTAGTCCTTACAAAATTACAGCTTTCCTCAACAGAAAACTGACTCTAGAAATTCTGTCCCACTAAACCAGGATAGGAGGTCACTTGCCTCCCATGGACCTGGCACAGAGGACTGACAAGCAAGAACAGAAGATAATTCTCCACAGAGAGGGCAGCGTGGAGACACCTGCAGATGCCACTACTTTGCCCCAACCCACAAGCAAGCCAAACCCACAGACTGGATTATGAAAGGAGTCTCTGCAAAGGGCAGGTTTGTCTGAAATCTCCCCATCCCATATGTGTTTGCATCTCATGTAGTTCCAGAAAGGGTAAGCCATGAGTGTGACAGTGCTCCTGGGTTTGGGGGCAAAGTCTTGCACCCAAGAATTTAGATGTAAAACCACACAGCACAGCTCCTGGCCACATGGTAAACCAATGGTGAGATTAAGCACCATGTGAAGTTTCTAGTTGTATTTACAGAAGGATACATATCATACGTTATACAATTGTTCTGGGTTTTTCTGTAAGAAAGGGAGAAGGCTATCTTACAGGAAAATGTGAGAAGGAAACGCCATACATATTTTGCCTGTGTTCACCTCTGCTATTTATGAATTTGACCCTTCTCTCCATCAGGAGGGGCAGTATAATGTTTTAGATTTCTTGCAGGTTTCCATGGATTTACATTCCCCCACACACCTTTCTACCCCTAAACCTTGTAGATTAATTCATAAAAAGGCTACATAGACTCCAGCACATCCCTCCTGGCACCCTTATCAGGGGAAGAGGCTCCATCCAGCCTCTCGTTAGGCCTCACAGCACCAGCTTACACTGCAGGCAAAGAGCAGGGAAGTGAAACCAGTGCACACTACCGTATCAGAACCCTTCCACAGGATCCCTTGGGGATTTTCAGCTTCTCTCAACTTCCCTGGCTCTATCAACTCCTTCCTCTGATGCCAGTTCCCATCTCAGCTGTGGGTAGAAGGCGCTGCCGTACCCCAGGGGAGTAGCCAGGCAGGAACATTTGGGACCTACCTCTCTGTGGTTCAGAGCAAGCCTCCAAGAGCCTGCCAAGTGGTGCTCCACAGCAAACTCTATGTCATGTAGTAAAGCAAGCCATGACAACTCAGCTGTGTCCCCTGTTCCAGGGTCAGAATTGCCAACCAAATTCAGGTGCTTTATTGACAAACCAAAACACTAAGCACCAGAGATTCTTGCAGAAGCAACTCAAGCCAGGAAAGAGAGAGCAAGGACAAGAGAGGATGCAGCTAATGCTGTGAAGGTCACACAGGGACTTTCCTGGGTTGGAGGGCCAAAAAGCAAGTGGAACTGAGTACACTCAATGCACATGGGCAGCTGCATGGGGAACACGAGCTCGCTGGCCCAAGAAAACAACCAGCCTTAGCTAACACTAAGCAGCCAACACAAATATCACTGCAATGTGAATCTTGCACTCAAGGTACAGTAGACAGAGCAGATCTGCTTCTCTGTCATCAGTTCCGACCCCATCTGGAGATGGGAAAGCAGGCCCAGGTGCAGGCATCAGGAGAGAGTCGCATGCATAAAGATTTTTATGGAGGTATGTCTTCATTTTCCTTGCTATGTCAGAGGGGAGGTTGGTGCAATCATCTTAAACTGTGCCCACTTCTCCCCTTCTAGTAACTCTTCATTATCACAGAATCAGAGAATGGTAGGGATTAGAGATCTCTGAAGGTCATCTACTCCATCCCCCCTCTAGAGCAGGATCACCAAGACTAGATCACATAGGAACACATCCAAGTGGGTTTTGAATGTGTCCAGAGAGACTCCACAACCTCTCTGGGCAGCCTGTTCCAGTGCTCTGTCACCCTCACAGTGAAAAAGATTTTCCTTATGTTTAGGTTGAAACTCCTGTGTTCCAGTTTGTGACCATTGCCCCTTTGTTCTGTCACTGTGCACAACTGAGAAGGGTCTGGTCTCATCCTCCTGATACCCATCCTTTAGATATTTATAAGCATTAATGAGATCCCCCATCAGTCTCCTTTTCTCCAGGCTAAAGAAACCCAGCTCTTTCAGCCCTTCCTCGTATGGGAGGTGCTCCAGACCCCTCAACATCTTAGTGCCTCTATGCTGGACTCTCTCCAGTATTTCCTTGTCCTTCTTGAACTGGAGACCCCAGAATTGGACTCAGTATTCCAGATATGGCCTCACCAGGGCAGAGCAGAGGGAGAGGATAACCTCCCTCCACCTATTGGCCACACTTCTTAATACACTCCAGGATGCTATTTGCCTTCTTGGCCACAAGAGCACATTGCTGGTTCATTATCCAGGCAGCAAAATGGGTTCAGTTATTTTTATTACAGCAACAACCTTTACACTCCGAATCTCACTGTTTTTTTTACCTGGGTGAGGATCCTATCGGCCAACTGCATGCTGTGGGTCAAAACATGTCCCCGCTTGTTACCATGAAAATGACAACATAGAGAAATGACACTTGCACCTCTAAAATGTCCTAGTAACAGGTCAGATTATTGAAACAGAATCTGTTTGACTTCTTAAATTGTTTTCGTTCTCCCTGACTTCTATTTTATTTTATGAAATTCCTGAACTTTGCACACAAAAAGAAACTGGCTAGTTTTCTCTTTTCAGGCATTTACCAAAGGCTCTGGAAGATGCAGTTGTTTGTTTAACAAGAATTACTTGTCCAAGCCAGACCTCAATGCTTTCAACTTTTCAGATAAAGCAGTGTGTTTGGACTGTAAGTACTGAAGCATCTGACCTTAATTAATTAATTCTTATTTTCTGAACTAAAAATAAAAAAAGTCTGCAGAACTGCCCAAGGATAAAATTCAAAAGAGGACTTTCTGGGAGACACTTTTTCAGGCCTTAGTTTTGCTATTTCTGCTGATGCCAAAGAGGAGAATTACTAGTGAAGAGAAAGACAGTTCATCAGCAGATTTATATCACTGTATGTTCTTCCCCTTTCTGTTGGTTCATGTTTCTCATTCTCAATTCTGCTGGAGACCAGTGGGCACCCTGCTCTTTGTCACAGCCTGTACATGAAAGGGTGAGTAGGAAAGGAAATGTTGGCTCCCTCCTGGCTGCAAACACAGACATGTCAGCTGCCGAGCCAAGAGGGGCAGACATAAGCTTGGCAAATGCCATGCAGTTGCTTTTGGTAGCAGGTTACCACTAAAAGGGTTCACCCGCCTCATTTCCTGTTGGTAGCATGTTTACTTCAGTTAGGAACTTGTGGGGATTTTGTACTTTTGATCAGAAACCGACTGGGGAACGTAAAGTGCAATACCCAGTGACAGCCTCTCTCCTGCAGCAACGACACCCAGCTGTGCCAAGCCCTCTCCTTCCTTGGCTGCATTACCCGTAGCCAGTCTCATGTCATACACCAGCTGTCACCGACCAAGGGGCAAAAAGAGACCGTCCACCGCTAATTAACTCCACAAACTGTGCAAAACAGCACACTTGCTCATGCACTTAAGTGATGCACTTTCCCAAGCTCTTGGGACATCTCTGTGGCTTGGCTGCCAAACTGGAATATTGTGTCCAGTTCTGGGCCCCTCAGTTCAAGAAGGACAGGGAACTGCTGGAGAGAGTCCAGCGTAGGGCTACAAAGATGATCAAGGGAGTGGAGCATCTCCCTTATGAGGAGCGGCTGAGGGAGCTGGGTCTCTTTAGTTTGCAGAAGAGGAGACTGAGGGGAGACCTCATTCATGTTTATAAATATTTAAAGGGTGAGAGTCACGAGGATGGAGCCAGGCTCTTCTCGGTGACAAACAATGATAGGACAAGAGGTAATGGGCACAAGCTGGAACACAGGAGGTTCCACTTAAATTTGAGAAGAAACTTCTTCTCAGTGAGGGTGACAGAGCACTGGAACAGGCTGCCCAGAGAGGTTGTGGAGTCTCCTTCTCTGGAGGCATTCAAAACCCGCCTGGACGCCTTCCTGTGCAACCTCATCTAGGCGTTCCTGCTCCGGCAGGGGGATTGGACTAGATGATCTTTTGAGGTTCCTTCCAATCCCTAACGTTCTGTGATTCTGTGATTCTGTGATTCTCCAGCCAATTAGTCTGCTAAAGCCCTGAAGAAGTGAGAGGCCACAGAGTGACACAGATCCCAGTTAACATTCTCATTGCAAAGCAAATCTTGTCAGAAGTGTTATTCCTGGAAGAGCCTTTAGGACTTACTTCCTAACAAACTGCCAAACCTGGAAGATTTCCTGGGGAAATAATTCCCTCATTTGGCTCCACTTAGAGCCCCTTCCTCTGCACTCAGGTTCTATGTGTGCCCTTTTGCCCTGGTCCCCTCTCCTTCCCTCCTTCCTCCCCAAGTCCCACTTCCCAGCCCAACCCCATGACAATCCCTGAATGGAGAAGGAGGAGGGGTGATCCAGGCAAGAGGAGAGCATCATCAAAGGTGTGATGAAATGGAATAACATCAGGGAGAGGAAACAACCTCGAACAGACCAGGAGAGGCAAACTATGCAGCTGGATCAAGTAACAGCGAAGCAAAGGACCAACTCTCTGTTGTTCGTGGCACAGATATTGCACTAGTTGACAGCATATCATCAGGTCTGGATTTCCCTGGACCAGAAAAGGAGCAAAGGATGAAAGAAATGTACTAAGGGAATGACGAGAGCTTTATAGTATAGGGTCCCCAGACCTTCTCACTCACCTTTCAGGAAAAGCATCAGTCCCACTGGCAATAAATGCTGTTTCCTGGCAGCTTCTGGCTTCAGCCTTGCCAAGTTGGCTCCCAAATCCATGACTGCCAGTTCCACAGAAGAATGATAGTTACAAACCTGAGATTGAGGAGTTAAAAGTGCATAATGATTCCTTCTGCTGGGGAGGCTGGTCCATCACCCCGCTTCAGGCTGGGATGGTATTGCCCATAACCCAGGACTTGGGCCTCTTTCTTTTGCATCTTAGTCAGAGGACTTCCACCCCAGAGGAGACTGCAGAGAGCTCACCGCTTTCTGTTGGTGTTGCAGTGGTGTTCTTGGTTTCCCCATGCAGTTTGAGCTAGACTCTGAGGAATGCTTTCTAGTTGTCTTAATATGGTCAGAAGTCTTTCGGTAAAGATTTTCAGAAAGAAATGTTGAAGTTATGTACATAGATAAATACTGCAGCCATCAAGTAGAGAACTGACACCTTGCTTCTATTAGTAAATCTTTTCTAGAAAGGCAACAGCTTACATTTAATGCCCTTAAAATGGAACCATTCTAAAGTAGATATGCAAAGATCTTCAGAAAATCATACTAAGACACTCCTCCTTTTCTTCTCTTTGTGTATCGTTTCTGGTATGTAGAGAAAAACCTGTATCAAACAAAGATACTTCTTTTTACACAGCTGATGGGCAGCTAAAAAAACCACCACAATCTCACTTATCAAAATAGCTACAAGAAAGTCTAAAAGCTTCTGAGGCAGATTCATTACTTTAAGCTTAAAATGTAATCCTGGGCATTTATGATGAGATGCTGAACACCCTGTGATTTATTTGAAGGATAATATAAAATAAAATATCCTGATTGAAAAAAACCCCTCCAATTTTTAGACTAAAAATGTAGTTTGTTTTTTTTTCTGCAAGCTTTTCATTGCATCTTAGTCTTCCATGTAAAATTTCAGATGCTCTTTTACTAGACAAGCTGCCTTTTCTTCCCTTTTCCTTAAGGTGGTTCAGGATTGCAGCTTCTGACAAGTTAGAGAAGTCAGAACTCTGTTTTCTGAGGATTTCCTCAGGCTTCCCAGAAATTTTAGGTGGCCTTTTTCAAAGCTCAGCAGACTACAACAGAATTAATCCACAAACAGCTTGGACAAGAGTTCAGCGCTCCTTTTGCACACAGCTTTATATGAGCAAAGATAAAAGCAGTGGAGATATGAGAAGGCTCTTTGTATGTCTTCCAAAATATGAGTAATTTCTGCTATACGAAGAGTGAAAACAAAAATGCACTTGATTTGTATCTGCCTGGTATGATAATCTCATTTATGAAAGAAAAATGCACTAAATTAGTGCAATTCTCTTATTTCAGCTGATTTGCAGAGGCTCAGTGCTGAAAACTGAATGAAAAAGAATAGGTTCTATTTTCTTCCATGTCTGAGTTCATAAGGAAATTTGCTGGTATGGTATTTAGTAGATGAATCATTCTCCCAGGATCACGCAAAAGAGAACTGATGAATGATGCTTTCAAACTTCTAACACAAAACAAAGCTCCTTTTCACTGTGTGGATTTAGCCCCATGTCTCTGCCAGCAGTGGTTTCAGAAAAAGAATATTCTTCCTATTTCAGCCAGTGACTTATAAAACATCTAAGGGCAGCATTTCAGCTACATTTCAAAGTAACATCTTCAGCTAGAGCTGCCGGGGTGATTCCTTTACACCTTACTGCTCTCTTGGAGCCAGGAAGCTTGTACTCAAGCAGAGAAAAATACAAACACAGTTGATCTCTGAAACAGCCTGGCACACCAAAACAGGAACCAGAACATTTTATACAGTCTGAGGACCTTTTATTATATACTTATATATAAAAATATAAAATACACAGTTTAAAAGGACACAGTCTTAAGGTCCTACATGAGCTAAAACCTTAACCCAGGCTGGCTAACATCAAGATCAAAGGATCCCAGAGCTGAGAAGTACAAGCTAAATAATCATATTTGCTTTGCAAAGAGAGACACCTTACCCAGAGCCAATTTTACTCAAGTAAGAGGCAAGCAGCAGGGAGGCACTCCTGCTTGCCCTCTTTTCATCAGTTAGGAAAAATGATGCCCTGCATCAGCACTGCTGTTTCCCTGGGCTGGACAAGTTGCAGTGACAGGAGGTGGCTGAAGGCAGGGTTGGGTCAGACCAGCAACTGCCCAGCCACAAGACGAGTGAAAACTTCAGCATGTGTGTCTGTGTGTTTTGGCAATAGTAGCTCAGAACACTCCTGCAGTGCAAACTTTGAAAGTGTGCTCCACTTCCATTTTGGAGCTGCAAAATGGAGCAGTTCCTTCCACTTTTAATTTCTTATCAGTTTTATTTTTACTTCTCAAGACCTGTTCAAAATCTGCAACTTTTCATAGCCTAGATACTATTTATTAAAATAAATACTAAGTATGTGTATAAACCCATCTAAAATATAACCTCCAAAGAATTGCTATCAAATTGTTAACAGAGATAACTGGATAGACAAGCACTAGATCATCACAAAGAAACCTCAGAACAGCAGTTAGGATGTTATTCACCCACAGTAAAAACTTCTGATCTCCTCAGTCATGTGCTTGTTTGATCCCTGAAAGGTGGTTTGTATCCATTTCATGCTCTTCTTTTTCTCAGCTAACAGCCAGTTAATTGTACATACTCTGTATGCTTATGTTCATTCCATTGCTACATGAAGCCAAACTCCACAGCACTAGCATAACACATTTTATGGCATTGCATTTTAGTAGCTGGCTTCGTATAGCACAAAGGCAAATATGTTTATTGGTTTTAAGTGTTCTGCCTTTGGATGTAATTTGCTGTTCTCATTCTGACACTGTTAAAGATGAGTAGAACAAGACCATCTTTCTTTCTTGTACAGCATTTTACTTGTAAGCTACCACATGCTCCTCTTTCACCCAGTCTCTAGTTCTGTCATGCTCATAAGCAGAAACCTACAAAAGCTTTTCACAATTCAACATTCAGGTAAATAGTAAAAGAAATTATGATCCTGCACAGCAACAGATACTTTCATGACTCTTTCCTTCACTTCAGGTGATCAGCTTGTGGAAAACAAGAATAGGTAACTGAAATCTTCCTGGCCTTATAAATATTCCTTGCCAGCTTTGTGCCTTTCTCTCTTCCCTCTGAAAAATCTTTTAATTACCCATGTCCAGACCCTGTTTCCAAGAGAAATTAATTTATCTTTTTTTTTTTAAAGACCCATTAGTTTAAACATTAGTGGTAACCTGCTCTAAAAATGCAACAAAATTTCTCCAAAAACCCCCTGAAGCACAAGTGTGGACTCTACTGAGTGTCGAGACCTGATGCTGCACAACCTTCTCAGAAGGAGTGCTGAGACTGAGCTCTGTTCCTTCACCCACATCCTGCACTCCACGAACCACCAACCCAGGGGAAAACCTGCTTCTCCCCAGCCCTTTCCCCCCACAGAGGAGGAGGAAATTAAGCCGAAATGACAGGAAAGCTTGGACAATATGTGCCTTCCTCCTTTGACAATTATGGGGCTTAGGAGAAAAATTCCTAATTTTGACGATTGCAGGCAGTTCCCCTTTCCCCATACTCACCAGCTGCGCTATTACTAAGCATTAGGGAGCCTCAAAAAGTATTTTATGGGAAAGACTGGGTTTATTCATTCTCAGCTCACCCACTCGCTTTCATTTTAGGTTGCTTGGCTTTTTGACTACAACTCAGCCTGATGCATCTGGGATGTACACTTGAAATAGATGGGTGAGGAAAAACCAGATGACATACACTTGCTGCAGGAAGCTGGAAGGAGAGGAAACAGTCTACACTGGCTGTCTTTACGCTGCCCACAAGACCACACCAGCCAGGTAGGCTCAACTTCTCCCTCCCTGGGTCTACACAAAAATTTCATGGACATCAGGTAGGAACTAGGGGAATTACAGGAGAATGGCTCAGATCTGACCTATAGGCTATAAGCAATGAATTTTAGCAAAACATAACATTTGTTGCCCTACCCATGTTCAGCACCCACCCTCTCACTTCTACCAGTCTGCTGCTTCCCACAGCACTCACCTGCCGCTACACCACAACTTACCCAAAATCCCCCAGACAACCTACTGCCTCAGCAACTGCCTTTTTGTCTCCCTACTTCCTCCTGCCGACAGGTGGGATGCCTGGAAACACAAGGCAGCTGTGATAAATTAGGGAAATTAAAAAGGAGGCTGTGGAAATCCCTGAAGAATAGGAGAGAAGGACATATCTGTGTGTCCTTTGCCTTTGCATTACTTCCTAGGAAAGGCTGGTGGAAGTTGGAGTTGGCAGCTTCCTCATCCCTGATGACTCCTGGCTTGAAGCCTGTCACGCCTGGGTTACAAGTTCAGGCTGGCTGCAGTCTTGGCCTGATCTCTCATGCCCTTTGGAGAATGGGTTCAAATCCCCAAAGCTCACAGCAGTGTGTTAGGCTGCTCTGTGGAACTTTTGTGCCCTGGCTCCTGGCAGGTCTCTCCTTTGACCCATCAGAAACATCTCCTCAGCCAGCACTCCTACAGAATGCTGACCTGTTTCAGACTGTCCCACCACCCCATTTTGAGCTTGCAATGTTAAAATAAAGGAATAAATAAACTTTCAAAACCCCAGAAAATACAAAACATGAGTTTCATTATGCAGATCCCCATAGACAGTCTGTCTCAAATAAATACTTTACAGCTTTTTTCCTACAAAATGGAATATTAAAATGTAACAAAATAAATAATTATCTAATATAAATCATCCTTTTTTGTATTTCTCTTGGGGAGAAGTCACAGCAGGTTTCCCTGGAAGCTCAAGGTGCCATTGTAAGAAGTTTCTGTCTTGCATGCGTAGGGTGGACAACTGCTCAGTTGTTCAGTGGTGCACCAGGGTTGGGCAGGCACCACGGGACCTCGCCTGCCCACAGCTTCATACTGTCCACACTTCTTGGCCTTGGTACAGCCAGGAATAACCTAACAGAAGAGAGGTTGTTGGGTTTTTTTCCTTCTTCAAAATATATGGATATTTTAAGAATAGGGGTAAAGATCCAGGCTGTGCACATTACGGAATAGGTCCTTGCACATCTCTGTGTGAAGACAGACTAAAGTTTTCCCCTTGTAACTCTCCCATCACGCTCAAGCTTGGACCTTGAGGCATGGTACCCGTGGAAAAAGACATATATCACATTTTCCTGCCACTGCTTTTTGTCACAAAATACCCATCAAAAGTAAGGGTGCACACTCTGGGCATATTCCATGAGGAGGCTGAGATGTTTTCAGCATAAAACTGGGCTGCAATTTTCTGAAATTATTTTTTGTCAGTTTACCTCTGCCTTGAGCTTGCCTCCTTCACCTGCTGTGCCAGGACTCTGATGCAGTGTGGCACCTTGGGCTTTCTGTTCAGAAGCACACTCTTCCTCTAAAGACCCCATGTTTTTTGATACAGGTCTTCAAAGCTGCTTCCTCTGCGAGCTGTGCTGGCCTTGCCAGAGGGAGTTTATTTTAGGAGTGCAGAAGAACGGGGCAAGTGCGTGGCCACTGCTTGCACAACTGCTCTGTGCATAAATATAGTAACAGAGTGACGCTTCCCCTGCAGCATGTCTTGTCATTGGGAAAGTGGATATTTTCTAGTCGTCATCACTGTTGGATGCCTATGGGCCTAAGTACCTTCAGGTTTCCCCTTCCCAGTGTGCTCCTACCCAGCTGACTGGCTGGGGGCTGATCCCTTCATCCCTCCCTGCTGTAAGTGCAGCCTGGGCTGGACAGCATGCAGTCAGCTCCAGAGTGGCTGGGCAGAGATGGGTCCCAGTGGCGAGCCCTGCCACTGGTGTGGATGAGCCCTGCAGCAGCCTGGGGAAAGGCAGACCTACCCAGCATGGCCGGGCTGGGTTTCTCTCCGGGTCCCGTAGGTGCCTGAGGCAGTGGTGGAGGAGGCAGGCAAGAAAGAGAAGTGAAGTCAGGGGGACCAGGACCCCCACTGCAATGGCAATGGGTGGTGCCACACTGCTGTCTGGACCTGTGGGGAAAGCACAGAGTACTCAGTTTGTGCATAAAGAAAAGAAAACAACCCAAACCCATTTCAGACATCCCTTGGCCAGTCCCCAGGGTGAGACAGGGTGAATAGGGGCACTGGAAGCACATGCCAACATGCACACAAGCAGCACCACCAGCAGACCTGTGTTTGGGGAACGATGCCACGGTTGGGTGTGTGGTATCCAACCCCTTTGAGCTATCCAAAGCTGCACGTCCTTTTGATGTGTCAAGGCTGTGTGACAGGGAAGCCCCACAAGTCCTCTGCAGAGGTAGGGGGGCTGGGAGACATCACAGTGTGCAGGTTACCCAACAAGCAGTAAGACATTGTACACCATCGCCAAGGGTGTTTGGATGCTCCTTGGGACATCCTTCATCCCTCCCCAGCCCAGCCTTGGCTGCTTTTCCAGATGCTTGTTCCCCACCTGCTCCCCAACCCTCGGAGGAGTTTCCTGATCTACCCCTAGGTGGTGTTTCATGGTCTGATCCCCGCCTCAGGACAAGAGGAGTGTTGCATGCTGACCTGGCACCACAGTGTCCACAGGCAGGACCAGGGTCATGTTTAGAGAGGGGTGTTGGATCACACAGGAGATGGGATACTCCTGGAGGATTTTGGAGTGGGTGTGGGTGAAATTGCTGATGACAGTCACGGTCTGGTTGCCACTGATGTGGTACTCCCTTGGTTTCTCCTGCAGGATGCCGGGAAGGAGCCAGGTGATTTTTGGAGCTGGTTTCCCTGTTGCTGAGCAACTCATCCTTATCACTTTCTCAGAGGTCTCAGGATTGTCTGGACTGGGTATTAGCTGAGCCTCCACTTTGGGGTCCAAGATGTCTGTAAAACGCAAAGTGACAAAATCCATTATTTTCTGCTCACATTTGAGCAAAGAGCACCTATATTTATCATAATCTTGAAGGACAATCTTGTTATCTAATTTTGCCTCCCTCCCACCAAAGCCTCAGCAGTGACAAATACACGTGAAAATGATCAGGCAGCAGTCTGGAAATGAAAAGCTTGTCAAAAACAAAGGACAAGAGGGTAGAAGCAGCTGTGTTTTGCTTCTATTATTAACGGCGGCAGTGCAGCATCCCAACTGAGAAGTGGTGATTATGGTTGAGTAAAGAGCAACAGGTAGTGAAACCATGAAACCACATGTCCTCCTTTCTCTGAAAGGGCTGAACTGCTTCAGAGAGTCAAAATATTTGTCCTTTTCTCTTAAGTGTATCTGCAGAATTAGCTTTATTGCTGTTTGAGATGTGCAGGCTTGTGGACCAAAGGACTAAATGCAAGATAGTGATAGTGAATTTGTATGTGGTCACACCACAGGATTTCACCTGTGGAAGTTTTGTGCTTGGGCAACTTTCTTTCCTCTAGTGTTGGGTTTTGGGGACATCATGGTATCCCTCAAAACCTTCATTAAAGATCATTTCTTCTGAACTCCTTCTCACACTAGAAGATTTGTGGATGCTCTCACATTTAGTCTTAGCCATCAAGATGGACGAACTAGGAGCAACATTCATGCTTACTCACGTGAAGCCTGTTTGTTGGTTTCTATTTATACAAACTGTATTTGCAAGGATTAAAGAAAGAGGAGGCACGCAGGAAGCTGTTTTCCACCTGGGTAGAAATCCAGGAGAGATCTGAACACATAAGGACATATCTATCTCCTGTGGAAAATGACCTGTTTATTCCTTGCCCATAAAGACATACCATAATTTAGGTCAGAAAAGACCTCTGTAGGTCATCTAGTCCAAGTCTCTGCTCAAAGCCAGTCTGATTAACTCAGTTTGCTCAGGCCAAGATCTATAAGGGCATATATTTCCATTAGGGAGTGCAATCCATAGGTTTCCGTATGGCAGCTCACCAGCCTGCGTTCTACTTCAGTGAATGTGATGATGACATAGAGGTCCAAACCCCACCCTACTTACAGCCGCCTGTTTCTGAAAATATTAGTTTTTTTAACCATTTAAGTGCAGTGGCAATTCTAGCTTCATTCAAGTCTGAGCTAAGATGATCTCTCATTTAAAAAGTATCTGTTACTATGTTTAGTAGTAGTCCATGTATATATTACTATTTACATAGCAAAAATAACAATGATCAGCACTATATTTATGCTGAAATTAATATATGTCCCAACACTAGCAACGTATTACTGTCATTTAGGAATCCTACTTTTTAACATTAAAAAATCTGTTTATTCTTCTTTGGAAAATTATTCTTTTTCCTTTTGGGAAGTAAATGAACATTTGCATATGAATGAAGTGTAGAAGACACCAAATAATCCTCTTAAAGGGGAAAAAAGGCTTGTGCCAGATGCATAATGGCATCTAGAAACTCCTGGTACAATTCCAGATGCACCTCTTGAGGTTGTCTGGATCCTCTAAGCCCTAACTGCCAGAGGGTAGAAGCAAGACATTGTATACCATCTGTTTTGCATTTTTTTCTTTATGGCTAGATCTCATTTATTTACTATGGTCATGCCATCTAGAAAAAAAAGAGTGGGCATTTCTCATTTTTTGCATCACCAATAGACAGAAACTCAAAACCCGCAAGCAGAGTTTATGAAACCTGCTAGTGTTGCTCTGAGAGCAACTAGAAAAGTGTGTAGGGGAATTTCAGCTGGAACTTCTCAAAATCTCCTGTGTATGAAAAGACAAGTGTCACAAACAGTTTATGTTTTGATTAATAAATGATCTCTTAACTTCTTCTTTCACTCACGGGATGCATAAAAATAACATGTCACCCCACAGCATTAAGTTCAAATATTAGCCTGCAACATGCAAAAGCAGTAAAGGAAAGCTGTCACAGATGTGTCCAGAAGGGATGAGAAAAATTGCCCAGTATCTTGGCAGAAACACATGCACTCCGCATGTGCTGTTCTGACTAAGCAGCCCTCTCGCTTCCACATTGGACCCCAAGAAATGTCTGTCATTTGAAAAAAACCCTGTAGGGTTTAGCTTCTTCTCAGGAAGAGTCTGTAATAGATGCACGGTCAAAACCTGTAAGTGCTTGCTTTTGCAGTACAGTCTTCCTACACTGTTAGCGTGTGCCCGCTGTTGGTATTCGATGCATACACTTAAATTGAGTCCTTCTTTTGTCTGTCATCAAAATATGAGTTTCCAGTGAAAAAGTACCCGCAAGAGATGTTGTGCACAAGTACTTGCTTTAGTAGCTCTTGCAGAGCAGTAGGGTAATTGTTCCCAAATTGGAGCTGTGTTGGAAAGTATTGGAAAAAGGGACTAGTCTGGTGAAACACATCAGCTTTGATTTTCTGTAATGGCCTTCTGTAATTAAAGGGAGATTCTCAGGTCAAGACATGCTTATTATGTTTAAAGGCTTGACAGTGATCTCTGAGAGACTGATAAAACTTTTTAGGAATTACAGTGATGATTACAGTACCACAATGATGACAGTACCACAATGATGACAGTATCACAATGACAGAAAGTCTTTTCCAACCATATGGGTGTTCACCAGCAACACCATGCCTTGGTTTCCCTGTCTAAGAAATAGTGATGGCATTTCTGTGCTGTACTCAAGACTTCCAGCCAAATGGTGCCATCTACAACGCAGACAGATGGTTTCTGAAGATGGCCCAGCAAATGCCTGGGGAATTTTGTGACCCACCAAGTCTTGCCCATTCTAGTGTGGCACATCATCTTCTCTCTGTGCCTGCTCACTTGATCCCTTTCCTGGGGATCATTCTGATGACTGTTCAAAAAAGACTTGCCAAGCACACTTGAAACTGTTCTTTTCCAAAATGGGCTTTGCTACAGGTTAGGAAATTCCTGCTTCTTGGGTTTGCTGTTTTCAGCCAGGCAGGTCTGAGATTTCTTCAGTCATACCTGTTTCTTTTTTTCACAGTGTCGTATCCAGTTCTTATGTGTTTCACTTCCCCCATCACGCAGTGACGGTGCCTGTCCCAGAACAACCCCTCTTGGGAAGGCTGTTGTAATCTGGCAATTACCAGCTTGTAAACTCCCTGGCAGTCCCCTCTTGAGGACAAAGGCATGGCAGTGTTTCATTTTCAGCTGATGATCCTGGCTTGGTCACCTTGCTCTGAATCCCTTCTGCTGGCTTGACAGTCTGGCACAGGGAGTCCTCTGGACTTGCTCAGACAAGTTCTTCCCATTGTTATGGGTTGGGAAATAAGGAAGTAAGACTGGCTTTTAAGTATCATCGCATAAATTAGCTTCAATGAAATATGCCATATGTGAACCAAAAATCTTCTGTCTCAGTGCCGAGTACTTAGTTTATTCATGGTGGCCCTCCAAGACATGTTTGATAAACATGTAGACATTTAAGGGTGGCCACCATGACCCCCATGAGCCAGCCTCTGGCAAGCCTGTGTTGATGCAGCAGCAGCAGCTCATGCCCGCCCACAAGAGAGGTGAAACACTTCTCAGCTGATGTGTTTTTGTCTCAGATACAGGAAGAGATGCTCACAGAAGTGTGTGTAGAAGCAGAAAAACAGAGGTTTTTTTTAAAGTACTGTGCTGCTAATGAGTGAATCATAGCCACAAGGCTGGTGATTTTGGGAAATATTTCCTTCTCTTGGATAAACAAACAAACAAACAAAAACCAAACAAATCTGCGTTTAAATTTACATGATAAATGAGAAAGGGATCCCTTTGCAAGGCACTTCCATATGTTCTTGTAATGTATAAATCAGTGTTTACCCTCTAAATGACTGAGGACTTGGTGTTTTTAGGAACACCTTCCTCTTCACATCTGAAATACTGAGTGAATTTCTCCTAATTTCTCTTTTCTGCTCTAGGAGCTTTCCCACAATAGAGGAAAAGGATTATTTGTTGCAGAGTTGATTTTCCCTTGTATTTCTCCCCCCGACCCCCACCCTTTCTCTATTGCTTAAATCATCTTTCCCCTACAAGCTGGGGACATCTTTTTTTCCACACAGAGGATTCTTGGCACATGGATATGTGTGTGGGCATGTGTCTCTGTCAGCAGAAGGTACTGGGGATAAAAAAAACACTCTGCAGGAGTCATATCACCACCAGCAGGTCCCAGACACTGATGTTTTCAACATGGGATGTGATCTTTGGCCAACCTCCCCACAGCAGAGTCAAGGGTGAGAAGGTCAGGACCCAACAGGATAACCTTGGAACATATTTAACACTTTCTCACTAGCAGAAAACCCAGAGCCTACCTCAAAAAAGAAACAGTTTTTCACTCTTGGTCCTTTTGAGTTAATCTGTCTGTATTTCAGCTTGTACTTGCTAGTTGACAATTTCATATGAAGATGTCAAATATTGCCACCTTGACTCATGATTTATTCTAACTCTCTTCTTGAAGCTAACTGATACTGTCCCGCACAAGATATTAAAGCTAAAGCTTTAAAGTTTTTTTTTGCACCCCTTTCCTGAGCCCAGCCTAACTGCTGTCATTTTTACTGTATCTTCAAAATGAGCTTCCAGATACTCTGGTCATGCATACGCTTCTCTGCCTTTTGAATACTTTGAATTTTTTTTAAGACTAAAGGCAGTGTAAGAAAAAAAAAAGTCTGATTTCCAGGCTTAGAAGGTGAGCGCAGCAGTGAAGGGAAGCAGAGGAGCGTGGAGTTCATGGTTGCGGCAGGCCATCTGTCAGCTCAGCACATGGCCAAGGAAACTTGGAGGAAGTCATGGGTTACATGTCAGTATTTGGATCTCGCTGTTGTTGACTTAAAGGGGAAGAAAATTAAAGAACCGTTGAACACTGGTTTCCCATCAGAGATAAAACCAGAGAGGGAGGGAGAACCAGGGAGGAAGCTGAGCCACCTTTCCCACAGCAATTTAGCAATGACCAGTGGTCAGGGAAGGTTTTTTCCAGAGAAAACAACTTGGTCCTCAGGTGACAGCCCGTATGTGATTACGATGCCTTACCATAAACCTGGAGACACATCCTGCCAGTGACAGCTCCCGAGGGGAACGTGTTGAATATGCACTTGTAGCATCCTTCATCTTGGAGGGTGACTCCATGAAGAGAGATGGCTGAGGCTTGTAACTCACTGCGGGCAAAACTCACGTGGCCAACATAGCCCTTTGCTATCTTTTGGCCATTCATCGTACTGTAAGTCGCCATGTTGTCTTCAGCCCCGTCGGTCTCCTTCTGCCAGGTCACCTGTAGCACATCTTTTCTTGTGACCAACTGGCATGAAAATGTAATGTTTTCTCCTGCCCGGACCGACTGGACCTTTCTGTGCATCACCTGCACGGAGCCTGGGGGAGAAGTAGGTGCCTCACTCAGTGTTTTTCACCACCCTTCTGCAACCAATCCCCAGCAGAGGCCCCCCAGCCCTTCACCCTCACTCCTGAGCAGAGCAGCTCCAGAGGGTCTCTCTGCCCCTCTATCCAAGGACAAATGAGAACACAGCTTGAAAGAATTGCCCTGAGAGTCCTGTTGGACCTGACACCTCTCACACAAAGCACCTCACCAGCCTGATACCTGTGCTGCAGAGAGAGCCACCAAGAAAGGCAGCTCTGGTGCTGGGAGTAACTGTTTTCTGTCTGCTGTGACTGTTATCCCATGGGGACCTGTGCAGAGGTTCCTTAAACATTCAGCTGTGCTAACCACCAAATGGCCACTGGTGCATTACAGCTTGCTGAGCCCTCCTGCAGCACAGAGAAAAGCCATAAAGCTGCTAAAAATTCTTATGTGTATCGCTATACATTGCACATCCACAGATACTAACAGGAGACCAGAAAAAAAGAAGGAAAAAGTGAGGCAGGGAGAAGTGGAGACAAACTGCCTCTGTCCTGCTATTTCAGGCTCAAGGCTGTGAAGCTGGGAAGCAGCTGAGACCCTGAAGGCCCATGGACAGAAAACTTTCATAGCAAAAATGCCATAGTATTAAAGGTCTCCAGGGAATTGGGAAAAAAAAATCACTATCCTCTTCCAATTCACAGACACATGTGGAAAAAACATTAAGGGGACAGGCAAGAACAAAGGATGCTCTCAGGTTTGACAGCTAATCTCCACAGTGCTCTTAGGATAGCAGTTTTCAAAATTTGTTTATGTACATCAGCATGGGAAGGGATATATCAGTAGGGACAGTTACAGCATTGAAAACATATAACTCAACGTAAAAGAAAGGGAAGCATCTTTGCAGGTTTTAAAGAGCAGTGAGGCTGCCTGCCGTGCCCAGAGGTACACCCAACAAAGTTGCTCAGGTCGTATCCCCTCTGTGTCTGTGGCCATGGCCAGGCAGATCTCCACAGGAGACCAAGAAGCCAGCTGTGAAGCCATGCCAGTCATTTTGCTTTTCAAAGAACCTTGGTGCCATAGACAGAATATAAACCATGACCATGGAAGCTATTTTGAAGCAAATTCAGGCTTTTCTATATACTTTTTAAATACAAAACCAAATGTAACACATCCACAATTTTAGTTGCCTGAGCAGCCAGCTACAAACACCACGTCCATCACTACAAATAATTCTGTCCTAGCTAAAACAGATCAGTGCCACACTCTGACTCAGATCGCAGCCACAACAGGAGATGAAATCAGACTTCACTCATACGGGTCATTGGGAGCATTTGGACATTCACCTGGTTTGTGATTCGCAGATTTTAAATAAATTTGTACATCTGTTTGCAGTTTACAAATGCACTGGTGGTACATTAAAAAGCAAATGCTGTCAACAGAGTGACATGTCTGAAGCCCCACACGAGCAGTGCGGTTGTGTGCAGCACCACAAGCACCCTGTCACCACTGGGCTCACCCCGGCAAGGTAGCAAAGGGGGACACTGCAGTGCCAACAGTGCAGGCTGGCAGGGCCACCAAGATCTCTAATGCTGTTAAAATAACAATACAGACAGACAGACAAGGGAGTTACCTGACACGAAAGTCCAGATGCTGAAGAGGAGCAGACAAGAGACCATGATCTTAGCTGTGCCCTCAGTGAGATGAGCGAGTGACTGATCCATTAAGCGCAGCTTCCCCTTTTTATACACTTCATTCTTACTCTAGGGACATTCCCCCTCACTGCATATACGGTAATAGGCACCTCATAAAAACCTCCTGCCCCTCCAGCAATCAGCTGAATAACAAAAATTTCACGGGATGTGACAACAAATGTCAGAGCCAGAGACCAAAGATTTCCCAGCCAGGTTGCTAGATGGACAGGGGTAATGGGGTTATAAGGCTGGGTTTTTCACAAGTGCCTTTTCCATAAGGTTAGGGTTTTGCAAGTGCTTAAATACAAGCAGGGGGGTTGGACCAGATGGTCTTTAAGGTCTCTTCCAACCCAAACCGTTCTATGATTCTCTAATTTCTAAGCTGGCTGAGCATCCAATGTCTGCAAGGAGCAGAAGGAAAGGCCACACTGGCTCTGACTTGAGCTCAAGGAAATTAGCTCAGGTCAATAGTCACGCTGAAATGTGTATTACCAATGCCCCCAACATGTAACCCAGAGGACCCAGTAAGGGGTCTGCACCCCTAAATCAGTGTAAATCAGTGGAGAGCCAAGAGCTGCTGAAGCTGATATAACACTAGTCTTTTTCCAGGCAAGGAGACCAGAGCAAGCCAAGCGTCCAAACCAGCGCCTAGGTCTCAAGTTATCTTGGGGAAAAAGCAGAGCATTGGTCTCCCCTCTCCTCCATTCAGGTTGCTCCCATCACTGCAGATCCATGTTCCTTCTCCAGCCCTGTCCCTCAGAAAGACAGGGCTACTGTCTCGCAAGCACACCCCTTCCTCTCCACCCTCACTTGAGATGACATAAAAATAGCTCATACAGCTATTCTGAGTCATTGTTTTTGTGCTTTTTTGCTTCGTCATTTTTGCGCCTGTATTTCTCTTTTTCTGCCAGCTGTGATCACATTGCTGAAACCAACAAAACCCTCATCCCCCAGGTCACTCATGCACCACGTGATGGGGCAACCAGCTGGTGAGACCTCCTTTGCTAATCAAACTTGTACTGGTAAACCAAGTTTCATGTTTCTGTTTTCTGATTAGATGTCTTATATTTTTGCAAATTCTTACTACTGCAAATGACTATGATTGCATTAAAAATGCTTTCTTTTACTCAAATTACCTCACAGATTAACCTTGATTCATGCAAATAGGTTGGGGGAAGCCAACAGGCCCAAATCATAACGTGACAAATAAAATTCTCAGACAGGCTTACACATACACAGTTCCTTCTCTGCTCCCAAGTAGTAATTAATAAACTGCAAATAAAAATAGCTCAAGTATCAGTATTCCTCTAAAGAAACATTGGACTAGATGATCCTTGTGGTCCTTTCCAACCTGGTATTCTATGATTCACTTTTGAGTAGGTTCAATAATTCATTCCCGTCACTCTGCAAACTATGATTGCTTCATACCATTGTCTTTCTCTTTTGAGGTATCACATCTCGTTTCCCTTTCCTTGAGTTATTTTCATAGTTGCATTTTCATGCAAGACTTCTGGAAGTGCATTCTGGCCTGACCAAAATGTGAAATCAACGGAAAATGGTTCTTTTGGGGCTTGCCAAACCATTTTACAGCTATTAAGCAATGCAAATAGCTCCAACAGGCTCTGGACCAAGGCTCTGAACCAAGTCAGAGGGAAAGCTGCCAGCTTTGAAATGGAAATTCACAAGCAAATATTTAATTTCTGATAGTCAGTCTCTCAGAACTTCCAAAACTGAAGAAAGCACTGAAGATTTGCTGAAACTCTTTTTGCACCAGTTTCCTAGCAAGGTGCAAGTGACCTATGCAAATATTTACTCCAGGATTTGCTGGTGTCCTCATCTTAGCTCTGCTACAATTTTGAAACAAAAGATTAACAGAAGAACTTTCCACAAGCTTGCAGACACTGTTGATGAAGTCCTCATAGCTGAACTTCACCACTTAGTGATCACAAAAGGAACTGCACTTGATTTAAATATAAAGAACTGCAAGCTCAGTTGATGTGTCTTTCTGCTCATAGGAAACGTTCTTGCCAGCTTTAATACTTTTATTTTCTATCAGAAAAACCATGAAAACTTGGGTGCTGCTACAGCAAACACCTTCCCATATACTGCAAACCTTCAGTCTTAGCAATATCCAAGCAGAGGACAGAGATGGCTATTGCGATTGGAAAAAACTGTGTTGACTTTAAGTAGTTTACAGTATCCCCTACCTGGTGATATAGAGCCACGTACTCTGGCTGCTCCTTTCAGGCTCTGCCTCTCCTCGGACAGCTCCTGGCACTGAAGGGTTCCCGGGCACACGAAGACCCCCCTCCCAGCCTGTATGCCTGTGTGCCTACATATGCATCCGAGTGCTGCAACATTTTTTTCTGAACCCCACCTTCCTCCAGGGTGCAACCAACCTCAGCAGTTGATTCATCACTTTAAACATGAGGCAGGCAGGGATGTGAGGTGCACTCATTAACCCCACCACTTATTTCAGTTTTGTGAGTGTATCTTTAAGTGCAGTTATTCAGACAGGTCCTGATCTGTTGGTCTTTGCATAGGTTTTTGGAGGATTACAGACCTACTCCTTGCTTGTCAGTCAGATCCCATGTCATCCTACTTCAGTCACACAACAGCTTCATTTCTGAGAACTGCACACCTTGCCTGAGCTTCAGGCACTTTCCAAAGCCAGTGAAAGCTTCGGACTAAATTAGGCAGAACACAGTTCTGCAAACACTGCTTGAAAAACCCAGTGATGTACAGTCGTCCCTTCCTTCCTGCTGCACAGGGATGGTCTCTCTAGTTCCCAGTAAATCAAAAAAGGACATACAAGAACTAATTGCACAGTCACTAAATGATAACATTTCTACACAGCCTAGTGAGTAATTATATCAATAAATCACACAGTTGCACTTCTGGAAAATGTTGCCGACAGTAGCCACTCAGGCACAATTGTAGTCTAAACCATAGTTTTTTCAACCATCCAAACCCAGGTTAACAGCTGAGTAACTGCCTACCTTGTCAGCAGGATTCAGTGCTGTCTCTCAATGCATTGCCTGTAGAGAGTACAAAACAGAGGGAGATGATAGTTTCATCCACCTCTGAACTGTAGGGACTACTGGAGTTTGATCTATCAGTACTAGAAGTAGGTACAACTATTGGGAGGCAGCTTGTCAAGTGCAATTGAACAGTCCTGGCACTTTATAATGTGTTCACAAATAATGCCTGTGTATAGCAAATCCCTCTACGTCTCAGCTGGATTTGTAGAGCTGCAGTACACTGGAGTAAAGACAGTGGCTGCATCCACCAACATGCTCTCCTGACTGTGTCACTGCACCAGGGTGGGCTGTGGCAGGACCTGCAGTCAGTAGCCAAGGGATGCTGCAGGACCAGGTGATGCTCATTTGGGAAGGGTTACATGCAAAGTGTCACGTTTGTCCACAGGTTTTAGATCAGATGGCACGAGGGTAGTTTGTACACAGCCAGCCACAGCTGTTTAGCCTTGGTCATGTTTGACTTGAAAGTATTTGATTCACTGTCTCTTCCAAATTGGGCTCCCTCCCTTCACTACCATACTGCTGTCAGCTGCAGTAGAGGACTGCAAATTGCAGCTGCCAGCACTGAAATCTGGTGTGGGAATGCCTAGAAAAGGGCAAAAGAGAAAGGAAGGAGGCGTGATGCTTAGTTGAGACCTAGCTCGTGATGGTGTACATGTATCTGCAAAACCACGTTACCAGGAGATGGCACACATCCAGTTAACCACTTAACACTTCTTACCTTTGTGTTTTGGTGAAATTTCTGATGACACCTGAAGTCTTACAGAGACTTTTTTTTTTCTTTTCCAGCAATGTACCAGAATTATGACATGTGACTTGACACATACTCACTCCCTGAACCATCAGCCCTGCAAACTGTATTTCTGGTTCTTCTATATTATTTTTTCTTCCTCATAGCACAAGAGGAAGAAAAAGGGATTAAAAAAAGACAAAAAGGAGAGGAGAAAGCAAAACCAGATCACATTGGAAAGCTTCAGCAGCAAAAGCTGTGCTTTGCTGGGGTTTGAAGTGTTTGTTCTCTACCAAACACACACCATTTGATTTGTCACACCATTTCTCAGAAGAGCAAGATGGGCAGGCATGTGGTTTCCTCTTGCCTAAAGCACCCCACGTTGCTGTTTCAGTCAAGGGATCCTAGAGGGAGACTATGCTGCAACCCACTAGTCACTTTGTGGAGGCCACCAGCACCAGCACGCCCTTGCTGGCCTTGGCGCTCCAGGAAGCCACGTCACTCATCCATTCCTCCCCTCTTCCTCTCCCACCCCCACTCATCAGTGCTTGTCTGTAGTAAAGACTTTGGGTTTTTTCTTTTTTAAGTGCACAATATCTGGGTGCTGCATGTGCTTATGGTGTGAGAGACAATGAGCCTCTTTGGTCACTGAGTTTCGTTCTGTAATACAGACGGTACAGAAAACAATTCAGCGAGGAGGGAAACCACATCCAAATTGGCTACCCAAGGGTGCAAAGATCCAGTGCAAGGATGGGAAACTGCCTACCAAAAATAAGGTAGGTTCAATACCTTTTTATATTTAATTACTAAACAAGAAGTCTAAGAGACGGATTTTATAAAAATGATACATGCAATAAATTTAAAGGACTGTGTAAGGCACCATGAGGAGCCTCTTGATTAAACAAAAGTCATTTAGCAAGCAAATTAACAATATCATTCTTAGTATGTCAAAGAGTATTGCCTTAGGAAGTTTTTTAGGGAGGTGTCTTCATCAGTAGGCTTTCAGCACAGAAACCCTGCTGAAGGGAGGAAGGGTGTTACAGGTGAGCAACACAAGGAGCAGAGAGTACTTGTCATCTGCTCCAAGTTTCCAGGTGGGAAAACTACACTTAGAGATTCACCTTGCCAACATTTATCTATTCTACCATGTTTCGTAAAGACAACCTTTTATATACGCTGTATATAAATAGATTAAATGATACAATATATTTAAATGGTGTACATGGTATAGATAAATACACTACAGTTATGAACAACGGTGG